AGAGGACAAAAGGCACCGGAGTGTAGGTTTTATTGCTTCTCGTACTCTGTGGATCATGACAGTATAGTTGAATTATTATTGTTGTTATAATTTTTTTAATGCAAAAGAGTGTCGCCAGTTTGAGCCTTGGATCAGCTATAAGAATGTTTATTATGAATTAATGTAGATATAAGCTGCAACATGGAGAAACTGAACTTCCGTGGTCTCTAAAACATGGTTTAATATGTAGATAAGCTGAAAATGTCATACTTTATATCTCGATTAGGTGCTATAAATATTTGCCTCTGTATTCTATTGAAGCATAATTGATATTTGACCGATCAACATCAAATTCCGAGATTGCGCGTAACTTTAAGGGTGACGGTATTTCTTCATTTACACGCAGACGTGGTGTAATCATTTCCAGCTTCGTGGAGTACACCATGGCAATGACGATTGCACAAGTTGGAAATTTGCATTTGGATGCTCGATGGCGTTGTCGCTTTCTTGGACTTTTATTCCGTGGATGCTGCCGACTCTTGGAGTAATATTGAAGATTCTGGACGCACTCTTTTCCACATGATGCTACTCGAGAGGTTTGTTATAAAGATACGCTCCTTTATCTGTCGAATATGAACACGACAAAATGTTGTAATCATCTTGGACTTGTGAATATGAAGTCTCAATCCACACTTGAGCCGAAAGAAATGGTCTTTTAGTGCACCTGTTCTTCGTGCTATTGATAAAAGTTCCTACATGAAAAGGATTTCTTCAACTAATACCTCCAATTTTATAGTGGGTGCTGCATTGTCAAGGGCTCCTCATTGGCTGTAGACATTCCTCTTTTGAAAATCTGGCAATCAAAAAGCACTTCTTAGATGACCGATTGCAGGCCTTTTGCAGCAAACATCCCGCTACATTTTCTTGCCCCCATTAGAAGCAAGCCTTAAGTTAAAAGAAAAAATAGTTGCAATCGAAAGAAGGAAAAGCTCTGTTGAATTTATAGGTCATACAGTTAAAGACACCAGGTTTCTATTTTATAGATACGGAAGAAGGTGTCATATTCCATCAGTTCAGTATATTATTTCATTTAAAGTGACGGCTAATAATGACTTTAAGATATCCTTATCTGCCACCTAATACCCATAGTCTCAAAAGTAATTTGCACTCAAATTCATATTTGCATTTTATCTAATTTCTTCAATTGGATTTCTATTACAGGTATCATAATCCAAGCTACAGATACTTGAAAAGAATGGTAAAACACTTATTAAGAGATGGATATTGCTATGGTAGGCAAACAGAAGGATGAGTAATATTGATTTACATACAAAAGAAGAAAAGACTATTTTGTTTTTTTTTTTTATAGGTAGAAGAAAAGACTTTCAAGAGATGCTAGTGATGTTTTAGAGAGAGGTATTTTAGCGATGGATAGTTGTGAATTGGTTATCGTGTGGATAGAAACCCAATGTGCAATGCTATTTCTTTGGAATCTGAATGGTTTATAAGTTAGCTTTCGGCTGCCCACAGTTGAGAAGTTGTGATTTCTTCTGGAATTGGAAACGCTTGATTCTGAATAAATCATAGGGGTCGTAATCAGCCGGTATGAACCGAGCGAAGAAAGGCAAGGCGTTAATCAGGTACTTGCCCATGCTTAAAGCAGAAAATAGTCTTCCTTAGAGGAACAATTTTCCATGGGTTTGTAAAACGCATTCCTCTCACATGGTCAATTGTGGTGGTGCTACAGTCAAGTGATTACTTCATTTCAGGTTTTCCTCTTTAGTTAGATGTCCATAACAACATTCCTTTGAGAAACCCATCTGCCAAAAAAAATCTGACGTCATACCTGTTAATTATGATTCTTATGGACTAACGCAGAGACAGATGGCCAATATCTGCTCAAAGGAAGCTCTTTGGTGACCAAATATATCAGTTTGGGGATGTATACAGAGCGTTGAATACTTCCAAAAGAAGCTGTCTAGACTGCATGCATAATTTGAGTTTATTCAAGATTATTACTATCTTTGTCTACATCCATACTGATGCTGTGTTGTTGTTGTTGTTATTAAGCATGCAGGTGAATTAAACATGATCTTGAAGCTCCTGCGAGAATTAAACAGCCTCTCCTGCTATATCAGGAAAAACTACATGTGGCTGAAGGGAAACACACGAAGCAAAAAAAGGAAGAAAGAAAGTAGGTGAAACTGGTGAACAGTCAGGACTCCAGATTTTTAAGCACGAAACTACTGCTGAGCCTGTCAGTTTAATCATTCTATTACTTTCAGAAGTTAGCATTTCACTTGATTCCACAGAGCTTTTCATGGTGCAGGCGATCCCTGATCACGAGCCCATCTTCACAGTTGAAGAAAATGGAGAGAGAGAGAGAGAGAGAGAGAGAGAGGTGGTGAACAGTTAAGCAGCGGTTGAATTTTCAAGTTGTTCACGGTTGAAGAAACGGGTTGAGTTCAGTAGCGACGGTGACCGATGTGTTGTGGGCGATTTTTGGTGCCTTTAAATTTAGACATTATGTTGGGTGAAAAATGGGGGACGGATACGTCGAACCCCATTAAACAATCTGTTTCTCCAACTTTGAGAGTGTTAGGCCAACGGTCAAAGGAAGAGACTCCTGTCCCTCTTTTCATTACTTTATTCCATGCCAAGATTAGACATCCTTCTCTTTGTTGGGTGTGCATTAATTTTTAGGATTCAGACATTCCCACTCTGTTTTTCTAGCACTCTTTCCATCTCGATATTCGTATTATATTGTTTCTGAGGAGGTGTGTGGGTGAGACTTTGCTCGTGTTGTTGATGTTCTTGTCTGTTTTTAACTCGAGCATTAGCTTCTCTACTCAATGAAAGTAATAATCATTTTGCATCCGAATAATGAAAGAAGTGGGTTATAACCAATCTTAGGTGTGTTTGTTTCACTAACATTGGAAATGTTTTTCGTAGGTCGATTAGTTTTCCGTCATCAAAATATCGAAAAATCAGAGAATATTTTCTCGGAAAGAGTTTTCTTTTAAACAAACGGAAACTAAATCAATATTGACATTCTCCAATCCAGATTATCAATGTTGTTTGTGCTGATATTTTGTGGACAAACGGGTCATCAGTGGAACCATTATCGTTTTACTTACATCCGGCAGACTTCGGTTAATCACATTCGATTTGCCTTCATCTATATTAATAGCAATTATGCACTTATTTTCACATCGACATAGTTAAAGAAGCTGCTGCCACTTGTTAAATTGAGTGGGCATGCATTTAGTTACCGGAGAATTGTGCGATACACGTATTACTTCTCAACTAGAATAGTTGAAGGTTTACACATGTAAAATTAACATACATAGAAAAAAAAACACGAAGAGATGGGAAGGGATAATGACACAAATAGTCCATGAACTTTAATGCAATGTGCAATATAGTCCCTGAATTTTTTATTTTACTCAATGCGGTCCTTGAACTTTACTCCAATGTGTAATGTGGTCCATGAATTTTTAATTTGTTTAGTTTAACCTTGAACTTTTGGTACATGTTCAATTTAGTTCCCGACCTATATGAAAATGTTCAATGTTGTCCTTCCGTTACTTCAAGTTCAGGGACAATATAAAACTTTTTTGTATAGTCTAATGACTAAATTGAATATGTATCAAAAGTTTAGAGACCACATTGAATAATTTAAAAGTTCGGGGATGGCATTGTGTATTGGATTAAAGTTCAGGGACTACATTGAACAAATTAAAAATTAGGGACCACATTGTACATTTAGTCAAAATTTATGAACCATTTATATCATATTTCCAGATGAAAATATAGAAGATGGAGAATCGAACATTGAACCTCCGGATTATGATACCATATTAGACTGTGTGCATATGCTAGCCAAAGTGCCTTTTAGACTTAAGTGGCAATCAAACATAGTTAATTCCAAAGTCATACGATGATATATAAAAGTGCCGAATCATTCGAAACGCGCATTGATTTTAAATTTTCCAAAAATATACTCATGGGATGTTCGGACCCCGTGTCTTTAATCCATCGATAGAAAGATTCACGGCGTTACTCCGAAATTTCGCGACGAAAGCAAGTCTTGTCGACGTCTCATCAAATAACAAAGATCCGTTTTCATCGACCCGTGAAATTTCGAACCGAATTGAATAAATAATTACTCCCCTAGATTTACCTACAAAGGTTAATTCCCAAGCTACGGGGGGTGTGGGACTATAGTTTCTGTTATTTGGTGCAACAGCAGGTTTCAAGACCAATACGAGACTCCTGTGTTTGACTAAGAGCACATCCGAGCCTCCACGTGCAGTTCTGAGGTTTCAAGCAAAATTGTCAGTTAGGTCTGAAAGGTGATCAAAACCTAAAAACCTCCTCCTTTACCATCAAGCCCGCATAAAAAAATCTAACAATAGTGTACCAACCCCTTCTTTATCAACCCGCGACCTAAAAAAAAATAAGTTGCAAAAAGCAGCAAACTTAACATAATGTATTCCAGCATTTATATGTTCAATTGCAATGTAATAGTCAGCACTTAAAATCAATATAAATTGGGTCCGTACATGAGTGCTAACCAAGAATTAACTATAGTGAGCAAATTAAGACGACCCGTTTTAATTAAAAAAGCCACCCTTTTTCGAGTTTATACATAAATTTATTATGGATTAGGATTTATAGCCAAAGCGTGGGTTATACAAGGAGTATATGTATATAGGATGGCGTTGTAGCTAGGTTAGAAAAAACACGAGGGAAGACCTTGAGAGGGGAACGAAATTCATCCCACCAAGCAACCTCCCTCTCTCTCTCTCTGTCTCTCTCAGCTATAAATATATATTTGTATAATGCTTGATATATGTAAGTTTAGAGCTATATTTATGACCAAGTATGAGAAAATAAGGATGAGATGACTTGCATATAAGCGTTTGTTAGCCTAGACGTTGCATCAATCGCTGGTGAAGGTCTGTCCAAACCCCTCCAAACTCACCGCACTCTCTAACGGAAAAAACTCTCTCTCTCTCTCTCTCTCTCTCTCTCTCTCTCTCTCTCTCTGTCTCTCTGTGGCATCATCTTCTCCTTTCGTTCCTCTCATTTCTCTCATCTTCTCCTCCAATTCCTACACATCATATTCTCACCCTCCTTCCCTCTTCCCCCTCTGTCTCTATTTCTTTTATATCTCAAAGTACACTCCTTGCTATCCTACCACCTATCGTCTCCCTCATATCTATATATATATATATAAGCCAGTACAATCAAGAAAGCTAGCAGGCATATAGTTCTTCAGATTTTTGTGGTTTCTGAAGAGATCTAACCACACCCTCTTCTCGTGCCGTGGAGGAAAGAAAAGTTGTCGCGAGTTTTTGGAATAGTGGTTTCGAGATTAGGGTTTCTGATCTGCTGTTCCTAGGTTTTTCTTGTTCGGATCATCCTCGATCCTCTCGTGTAAGAGCTTTAGCTTGAGCTGGAGAGGACTTTGATCAGATGTGCACCAGAGGCCACTGGCGGCCCGCCGAAGATGAGAAGCTCCGCGAGCTGGTGGAACGGTACGGACCCCATAACTGGAACGCCATCGCCGAGAAGCTCCAAGGGAGATCAGGTGCCCGCTTGATCTTGGCCTCGGTCTCTATCGAGTTTACAACTGCCATGCAGGAGTTTCTGTTTTTTATCCAATATATGCATGGTTTATAGGGTTTCGATCTTGGCTAGGTTGCGATGGGCATTAGAAAAACGATAACTCCTTACTTGGACAAGACTCGTTCAAGGAAATTTAGGTCGAGTTGGACATATTCGGTCGAAGTAGCCGCCTGTTTTAGCCAATCTTGGATGAGAGATCAGTTAATCTAGTTCGGTTGATCATAGTCATTTAATATGGCCAGTGTCTCATGTCATCTAATGGTTGTGATGGTATGTAGTCCATTTGACCTGATCCATGCGAGAACCACTCCTTATATGAAGTGAGATCCCTGCGAGCCTCACGAATCCAATGGTTTAAGCATGACTAATCTACGTATTAACCCTTTATTATTACAAGTTAATAATGATTTTGTTATTTCCATTGAAGCAACAACTAATTATGGGAAGCGTGATTTGGTGATGATCAGGGAAGAGTTGTAGGTTGAGGTGGTTCAATCAGCTGGATCCAAGAATCAATCGAAGCCCGTTCACAGAAGAGGAAGAAGAAAAGCTTCTGGCTTCCCATCGTCTCCACGGCAACAGATGGTCTGTCATCGCAAGGCTATTCCCCGGTCGGACCGATAATGCGGTCAAGAATCACTGGCACGTGATCATGGCAAGGCGGAGTCGAGAGAGGTCGAGGCTCTATGCTAAGAGAGCTGCCCAGACTCTGATGGAGGAAAGGACGAAATATTCTTCGCCGTCCTTGGCTAATAAAGAACAAGACATGCAGATGATGAACGCTAGTGCTACAGCAAATTACCAGCTCGCTTCTTCGTTTGTCGACAGCTTCCCTGGTTTAGGCCAGTGTGCTTTCGCTCATGCCGGTCTTCCATTGATCAAACAACTCCACTCCAACCATCAGATTACTCCTAACATTCCTCTTCGTGAAGGTAATTACATCATTGAAATGGTGAATTCTACAAAACCTATATTCTCGAGGTAGTGAAGATACCGTAAGATAATTTCTCTGTAATTCCATTTTGATGAGTCGCATTGCTGTGCTTAGGTTTATATACTTTTATCATTCCCTTTGTTCGAAATATCTCAGTTCTCGTCAAATTATTCTACCAAACCACTATCGTGTTTTCATGGACATATATCAAACTTCCTATTGATTAAGGAAATGGACTAGACGATAGACATATTACAGTTTGTTAACACGACTTATTGCAAAATAATTTTTTTCTCTGCCGATAGACATAATAATTTTTTGTTGAACTTTCAAATGAGCCTTAGGGGCGAAATATCAACAAAATGCGTGCTTCAAAGGGTAAAATGCTTCAACTTTAATTACAAAGTATGAACTGAACATGCAACATGAGGATGGGTTATGATAATCCTGATAATCTTAGAGTTTAAATGACTAGAAACGCCATTTCTTGGTTTTTCCTGATGCAAGATTATCTTATTCTTTTTTTTGTGTATGTCTTTGCAGATAAACTTCAGCCAACTGAGTTTTATGATTTTCTCCAAGTAAATACCGACTCTAACAAAAGCGAGGTCATTGATGTCGTCCATGCAAGAAGAGACGATGAAGAGGTTGATCAAGAAGCGGCTAACGACAGTGCAGATAATCAAGCCAAGGGTGGTAGTGCTCCGTTCTTTGATTTCTTATCGGTCGGAAGCTCTTCTTAGCCCGGGTATTTCGCAAAAGACAGCATGCGCAAATTACCCGTCGACTAATTAAGAATGGCTTCGTAGAGCCTCGATACTACATAGATCGCGCCGGCCACTTCGATATTGATAGGGATACGTCCTTATAATTATGCGAAGAGATATATGAATATATAGCTCTAGCTAGAAAAAAAGGCATTGTGTACTTCTTTAGAAACCAGAACATAGACTGAGCTACATGTTAGTGTAAAACAATACACACATTGGAGAAAAAGCAGGAATTTTCACAATTCAGCATCTCCAAATTATAGTATCTTGCGTATGTTTTGGATTTTGCATGTCTGTTACCTGCTCTAATTTCCCCTAGTACAACCCTTAACCCATGCATATTTTAATCAATTGAATCCTTAATTGCTAGCTGAAGTTTACATTAAAAGATATCTCTAAATTATAAGGAGGATTTTTTTGATTAATTTGTTGAAGGGGAATTGTATAACACGCATCATGTCATGATCCCCCCTTGCAAAAGGTCAGTGTGCAAGAGCTGACTACTTGGTAAAATGAGAAACCCGAATCGGACGAACACGTGCGAATTACTTGTATCATCGTCAATGCGGTGCCGCCCCATTTTTAACTTTTCAAAAGGGCAGACAAAATAATGGACTTCTACGTTGTACATTGCTGGTAAAAGGTTAGTTGTCACCAATGTGTCATCATTGTGCATTTCGAATTCACGAAAGTCATTCCTTCTTCGAAATACAGGCTTAAATTTACTCCATTCGTCTCGTTAAACTAATATGTATATTTTCTGCAGATATAAATAAACGATAATCTCGTTGATTCACCGAAAGCTCGCATGATTATTCTACGACATGATGTAATTTAGATAATGGGGCAATATCATCTTGATTGGACCTATAACTACCGAATTCACTTGATTCTAGCATAATACCTTAACAAACCGCAAAATAATGGTGAGATTGATGGTTCTTCGCAAGGCGCGCACGTTTGATCAAAATATAGTTATCGACAGCGACTTCTAACAACATTTGAACCCATCTTCATCGATATGAATCTTAAGTTGATGCCATCATATATAATATTCGTCGTACGCAGAAGTAAAAGCTGATTCTAACAATGCCTCAACTCGATTAGATAGTTATTTTTCATCACTTACTATCCGGAATACCCTCACGGTAATCGTCACAGATAAAATATTACAGAATGCTAATTTCTCCAGCATCTAGCTCAAACCCTATTTAATTGCGTATAACTTTACATATTCATTGATTTGTAATTCTGTTTGAGCTTGTAAGTTCCATTCATATACTTGTAGCGCGAAGATGGTAAAAAGACCTTACATGTCGAGGAGAGTTGCAATAAAATAAGTACATTTGCGAGTGTTCGCTTGCCCAACTCTAGAATACTTTATCCGGGCACCGATAGCCACTTGGTGCAAGATTTGATATATCTATGTCTGTGTATATATGCGCAAAATGCTCGTGCTCTCTCTTATTTGTCTATCTAATTAGGTAAAACTGATTAATCTAACAATTTGTTTTGCGATTGGGTTTCATGTTCCGTCCCCATTGTATGCACCCTTTTAGTTTACACTACTTGTGAGTATTCCCTAATGTAGATAATGGTCCAATGACCATCTTGGGGGTTTATGCACAGATAGAATGTGGGATTGGTGGACTGTACATGTCCAAAGGGATCAATTACTACTCTCAGACAAATCAAAGAAAACTAAAAATTGCTCAAAATCCCAAAAAATAATTTAAAGAAAAAGAGTTTGCACCAAGAAGAACAACGACCTAAAATCTTGCCCGGTGGAAATAGCTTTGACCCTCCAACCCAAGAGCACTGCCATTTCCTTTTCTGGGACAGGCTTCATGTCTTCTTCATTCCTGGTTCGATCGTTGGTATTGTCTTTGCCATTCCAACTAACTTGAGTTGCTACCTCTCTTTCTTTGTGTTCTTGCTTTTGCATAACAACCTTGTACCGATGCCATTCTACTTGTACCAAGTCAACCATCAATGGGGTGGTATTCCAATTCTCCAACCACCATCGAGCCTCTCTCTCGCTTACTTCCAACGTACGAATGCTAATGAGCTCCGGTTTAAGGTTTTTTTTTAATAAGGAAGGGGCTTCGATTAGATCTACTAACGATACGGTAAAAAGGGAAGTTAATCATCAACCGTCGTGTAGATGGGATCCGCTGGCGGAGGCAACAACATAACGAGGCGAAGCCTTTCGGATGTAAATGATAAGAATCTTGTTCGAAGTTTTTACACGAGACATGAATGAGAACGGTAGTATTGTTAGAACACACACGGAAAAATGTCATTGCGAAGAACCGACATTTTAAATTATTGTCGATATTATCTTTGCCAAAAAGAAAAAAAAAACATGGGCAACGAATAATCATGTCTATAATCCGCAACATGTGTCGTAATTAGAAAGCGATTGAGAAATTCGGGCACCACATTCGCACCCCAAGCCCCTAGAACGGGATTATAAACGGCTGCAAATTCGGTCATTATGAGCACCAAGTTTGCTTAAATGCTTTGTTAATTAGATAGATGTTAGGATGATAGAAATGGCTCAGCATCCACGAAAGAATAGTGCTAGGGTTGACTTTTCATCAACAACGCTCGTTACCAAAATAATGTTTCGTAATATAGAGTATGATGACATCGAATATGAAAATTATGTGCTCCACCATTTGATTTTCTATATAAATATTTGGGAAAATGACATGAATAGTTCTCGAACTTTGGCTCAATGTGTAATGTGGTCCGTGAACTTTTAATCTGTTCAATGTGGTCCCTGAACTTTAACCTAACATGCAATATAATCCCTGAACTTTTAATTTATTCAATGTCGTCCTAAACTTTTGATATACTTTCAATGCAGTCCCTTGGAACCATATTGAACATGTACAAATTAAAGACTCGAGGATCACATTGAACATTAAGCTAAAGTTTAAAGACCATATTGAACATATTAAAAGTTGAAAGATTACATATTGGGTCAAAATATAGGGACCATTCGTGTCATTATTCCTAAATATTTCTTTCAGGTTTTTGCACGGGGATTTCGATATACGAGAGATTTTCTTCCGCTCACATGGTCTTTAATGTACGGGCGGGCCGGGCCGGGCTTTGAGCCCAAAGATTCATTTGGGCCGTCCACGTGGCAGAGGGCCCACAATCGGTCTTCGTGTGACCGGAGGCCATTAAAAGAGATCCGACGACGGTGATTGGATGTGAAGGTCAAAGTTATGTTTCCTAGGCATTGACCAGATCTCGTGGAATTCAGGTCAGGCAAAACCACACGTGGCACGCACCAATCACGAGGCGCCAATCATGACACTTCGTACACGAAAAAGCATGTAAAAAGTTCAAAAACTTGACTAGATGTCAACAAAAAGTCAACGGTTAAGGCAGTAGTATTTACTTCGGCCTAATTTCCCCAAAAAAAAAAAACTCTGAACTTTAGGTTATGTCCTCAATTTATTATAAACTTTCTTTTGTTTCAGAAAAAATTTCAAACTTTAGATTAAGTTCCAAATCTACCCCAAACTTTTTTTTGTCTCAGAAAAAATCTCAAATTTTAAGTTCAGTCCCAAATCTGCCCCAAAATTTATTTTGTGTAAAAAAATCACCAAAATTCAATTTATTTTTAAAAATATACCCCCCGATCTAGTCCTAACTTGATGTGGCACTTTCACGTCGATAACAAATCCACATCAACAAAGTAATGGGGTTTTTTTAGACAAAGAAAAGTTCGGAGCAAATTTGGACCGAACCAAAAAATTAGGTTTTTTTTAAATTAAAAAAATATTTTTGGGGGTAGATTTATTATCGTCCATAACTTTCATATCCTATAATGGTTTTATTTTGAAAAATTTCAACAATTTTTATTGGGTTGGATTTGTTATCGAAGTGGAAATGCGACATTGGTCTATACCTATTGTCCTATTACTTTTTTAATGTGTATTTGTTATTGATGAAGAAGTGCCATGTCAAGTTAGGACTGGATCACAAGGGTATATTTTTGAAAATAAATTGAAATTTGTTGATTTTTTTTACACAAAACAAAATTCGGTGCAGATTTGGGACTGAACTTAAAGTTTGAGGTTTTTTCTTAGACAAAAAAAAAGTTCGGATACAATTTGGAACTTGAATTAAAGTTTGGGGTTTTTTTTAGGGAATTCACCCTATTTACTTCCATCACGGGGCAATAGTTTCCAATGGGCTCCGAAATAAGATTTGAAATGACCGTCAAGATAAAAAATCCAAAGAAAAAAACGTTTAAAACACGATGTATTCAAATTCAAACCCGACTCGATATTTAATGAAAAATCAAGCATAACAGGTAAAGATTTCATTCATTTTAGGACCAAGGTGAAATCATCAACTCTAAAAACGGTTTCATATTAAATCATCATTGGCCCATTTGTTTCGTGACAAACAAATGATATGAAAAAACATCATCCCCAAAATAATCGATTGTATCGCTCATGAACTGAACGAATAAAAAAAAAATTTCATTATCCACAAAAATGTTTAGACATAGTTTGTTAACTAATTACTTCAAGCAATACAACTGATTACTTTTATGAAAAATGCTTTCCAAAATTATTCATTTTCCAGCGAAAGAGACGGAGAGCTTAGCTCACTCATTTCGGTCAACTCAAAATAACCTGAGATCCACTAACTGTTTTCTTCACTCAAAAAAGGAAAAAAAAAATTAGGCACATAGAAACTATATGGAGTGATTTTAAAAGGTTAATTATGTAAGAAAATGGAAAAATGACACAAATAGTCCATGAATTTTGGCCCAATATGTAATTTAGTCTCTGAACTTTTAATTTGTTCAATATAGTCTCTGAATTTTAACCCAATGTGCAATGTGGTCCATGAACTTTTCATTTGTTCAATGTCATCCCTGAACTTTTGGTACATGTTCAATTCAATCCCTGAACTATATGAAAATGTTCAATGCAGCCCTTTCCATTCATTCAAGTTCAGAGACTATATTGAACATTTTCATATAATTCAGGGACTGAATTGAACATGTACTAAAAGTTCACGAATGAAGTTGAACAAAATAAAAGTTCAGGGACTTGATTGAATGAATTAAAAGTTCAGATATTAAATTGCACATTAAATTTTAAGTTCAAAGACGATTTATGTCATTATCGTAAGAAAAGACATGCGTCGAGAGTCAAGCGCCAGGCAATTAAAAACCGAAGGAATTTCCAACCCCCGCGGCCCCGCCCATCTCTTTCGCTCGACACGACGGGACGATTAATAAATAATAATAATAAATAAATAAAAGAAAAACAATTGATTTTCTCGTAGATGAAATCTAGGAAGAAACCAGCAAACGGAGGAGAGGTGACGAGCGCCGATCTCTCCGTCTCCTATAACCGCGTCTTCTCTCTCTATCTCTCCCTCGTTGGCTCGGTCTCGGATCGCAGAGGCCATGGCGAAGACGACGACGACGACGACGACAACGATGTCCCCGATCTTCGGCCTCGCCGCCGTCTTGGCGCTCTGCTTCGCTCGGGCCGCCGTGTCGAGTCCCTCCGACCACCGCTACAAGGCGCGACACCCCGTCCCTCTCTACGCCAACAAGGTCGGCCCCTTCCACAACCCCAGGTGAGTCGTCCTCGTCGTCGTCGTCGTCGTCCTCACGCTGGAGCTTGACGCGATCCATCTCGATGTGACTGGCGTTGGGCTCGGGGAATCCCGGGTCTCTCTCCTGTTCCTTTTTTCTTTTCTTTTTTTTTTTTGTGTGTGTGTGGTTGCGTGGGTTCTGGTTTTGACCGGCATTGCGATGTCGAGTGCTGAGATTTTGAAGCGACTCGAGCCTCCGTCAGTTCGGAGAATCGTAGGAGACGGAGGTAGGAGATTCGAAATGTCCAGGGTTGACCTGGTCGAGTCGATTGTGCCTCAGTGGTTTCGCGCGGTGTCTTCCAGAGCTCGATGGCATTGGGAATTAGAACGTCCATCGGAGAGATGCACGCTGTTTGCTTTACATTTGCTATACTGTAATGGAATCGGGCTCGTGTAGAGCCTGAATTAGTTCTAGGTAGGGTCGCTTGAGACGCCGGGATTACTCCTGCTACGGTTTTTGGATTTTTCCATCTGAAATCAATCCGAGAAATGAGCGAAATGGTAAATTTTGAGGAGTTCTTTCTGATGAATCTACGGGTTTCTTGTTTATGCGCTGCAATCATTACTACTTCCTTGATGCTGCCGTTGCTGCGGGTGTTATGCATCCTTATCTTTCGCGAGAGAAGTAGCAGCTGATTGGGGGCGCCATTGCTTTTGTCGCTGATAACCCGTAATGTAAATCTTGCCCGCATCGTCACGAGAAACAGATCTCTTGTGACCTTGGATAACGGAAACCAATAACCTTGTCTTCAAAGGAAAAGTTCTGTCTTCTTGTCCTGAGCAGGAGCAATTTGACCCTGAATAACCAAACTGAAAAGGCCGTTGCATCTGATCATGTAGATACTTGCTCGAACATAGCTAGACCAGTTGATCTTGCGTCCTTCAGGTTTCTACGTGGTTTCTGCAGGATATAAGAGCCGAATTATTGATGGATTCATCACAAGGCCTTGCTAAATCGAGGAGAGTGAAAAAATGATTATGTAATCTAGATTTTTTGTGTGAAAATTTGTTGTAAATTGTGATTCATCATAACTGTGTCATTTGAACCACAAACAAGAACAGATTTTAAATCTAATAAGAGGGATAATTTCGGAGGCATGTAACTTTAAGAATCTCCTAGATTTGCTATATATGTTCTTTCAAGCCTGTACATATCTCCTTCGACTCATAGATTTTTGTCCTCCACTTGTCCATGGAGTCTCTTCTAAGGGTAATAGTCCAAGAAACTTTTATATCTCAAGCCAAGCTAATGATTTGACATTTTTATTTTCATGCAGTGAAACATATCGCTACTTCGATCTTCCGTATTGCACACCAGGTCTGTATGCTGATATTTCCAGAGTTGGGTTTCTTTCTGAATCATTATATCTCAGAAGCTTTGATTCGCTAATTTGTTTCCTATCACAGATCATCTGAAAGAGAAAAAAGAAGCTCTGGGTGAAGTGTTAAATGGAGATCGTTTAGTTAGTGCTCCCTTCCAGCTTGACTTTTTAACGATTAAGGAATATGAAGTTGTTTGCAAGAAAACACTTTCAAAGGTAGAAGTGGCACGATTCCGGTCTGCAATCATCCAGGACTATTACTTTCAGATGTATTATGATGACTTGCCTATCTGGGGTTTCATCGGGAAGGTTGACAAGGAGGGCAGGGATCCAAGTGAATACAAGTATCTTCTTTATAAGCACATTATCTTCGAGATCTTTTACAACAAGGACCGTGTGATCGAGATTAATGTCCGGACAGACCCAAACAGCGTCGCAGATCTTACAGAAGACAAAGAAGTTGATTTTCAGTTTATGTACACAGCAAAGTGGAAAGAAACAAATATTCCATTTGAGAAAAGGATGGATAAATACTCTCAGTCATCTTCACTGCCTCATCATCTCGAGATTCACTGGTTTTCAATCGTAAATTCATGTGTTACAGTTCTTTTGTTGACTGGATTTCTTGCCACAATCCTCATGAGAGTTCTCAAGAATGATTTCGTCAAGTTAGGATCCCTCTTCTATTACTCGTTTGCCTGCCTAATTTTCTCTAAACGTTGATAAGTTGTGTGCCTTCTTTCTTTCTACGAACATGATAGGACCGCTCTGTCTTTTGTTCTGTTTTTGTTTATGACAAATAGGTACGCCCATGACGAAGAATCGGCTGAAGATGAGGAGGAGACTGGATGGAAATACATCCACGGGGATGTGTTTAGGTTCCCAGGGTATAAATCTCTTTTTGCTGCTGCAGTTGGTTCTGGTACTCAGCTGTTTACTCTGTAAGTATCAAGATTATCTGGTGTCTGTGGAAGCACTTTTGCAAGAGGAATTTTGCACCTCCTTTTATTGGACCCATATTCCTCTGTTTATCTTAATTGGGCAATTTTTGATTTGTGTTCTGCAGTACCATATTCATCTTTATATTGGCATTGGTTGGTGTCTTCTATCCGTACAACCGAGGCGCACTATTTACGGCGCTGGTTGTTATATATGCACTCACGTCAGGAATTGCAGGCTATACTGCTTCCTCCTTTTACTGTCAGCTGGAGGGAACAAACTGGGTATGTGATACTGAAATCTTCCTATGGACATTATTTACAGCACATCTGTTTGTTGATTAAATTCCTTTTTTGACGTGGCAGGTCAGGAATTTACTATTGACTGGATGCCTCTTCTGTGGGCCCCTGTTTCTCACATTCTGCTTCTTAAATACGGTTGCCATTGTCTACACTGCCACTGCAGCTCTTCCATTCGGCACAATTTTGGTCATAGTTCTTATATGGACACTTGTAACATCACCTTTGCTCATATTAGGCGGGATTGCTGGGAAGAATAGCAAGGCCGAATTTCAAGCTCCATGCCGCACCACTAAGTACCCCAGAGAGATTCCACCATTGCCATGGTATAGGGAGACAATCCCTCAGATGGCAATGGCTGGTTTTCTCCCTTTCAGTGCCATATACATCGAACTATACTACATTTTTGCCAGTGTCTGGGGTCACAGGATCTATACCATATATAGCATCTTGTTTGTTGTTTTCATCATTCTCTTGATAGTCACTGCTTTTATCACAGTGGCATTGACCTACTTCCAACTTGCTGCTGAGGACCACAAATGGTGGTGGAGGTATGCCATACAATGATTCAGCGTTTGTTTTTCTTTGGCTAATTTTAATAATGTGCTGTAGATATCTGCTTGCTGGTTTTCCTTTGAGTTGCCCTTCACAGTTAAAAATGAATACTAAACACGATGCATGGCATCCCCAGTCACATTTAGCTCGCTTGAGTCAAATTGTTTACCTATGATCTTGTGAGTTGCAAAAGTGACGTGAAGATATTGGAAGAAGATAGCGATGATTGCTAAGCAATGTCACGTCTCTGTTTAGCTTTTATTTACACATGGAAGCACTTTATATGTTGTTTATTACACAAAGACAAGCTTTCAAATTTAGAATTTTGACTGGTTTCTCAGGGGTAAAACTACCTTCTCAGGGGAGATATTCTAACTAGGTCATAAAAAGGTTTAGGTGCCACATTGCTTGTAGGACAATGGGCTAGAAGCAGCACAAAACTGACAATTCTAATTAGGTGTTGGAAAAGGCTTTTTTCTCTGCGAAGTATCTGTTCCAATGATAGGAAATTAATTTGGCTAATGATGAATATTCTTCTGATTTAACTTGAAAAGTTTAATGTTAGATAGTATTAGTCAATGAACTCAGAAGATTTGGTGATGCCACGGGACTGATCGTCCTCAATGCTTTATTGTTAGAGAGCAATTAGGAGAAAAATGCCAATAGAGGCTTCAGATGGGTGTTTGTTACTTTCTTTTTGTCAATAGTTTCTTCACAACTTGAAGGTTCACAAGCTTTAGCTGCTACTAGTTATTGAGTCAACACATGTAAAGATCCCATCGAATGCACGTTTTAAAAGCTGGGTTTTTGTGGAATATGAATTCTTTGTTGTTGACATCTGTGAAGAGCTTCCACATACTCTTGGAGAAATCCTGCACATAGCCATGACGATTGCAATTATTAGTTTATCTTAAGTCATTCGTGCTCAACATAAGGTTGAACTAACTTGTCCTTTTTAAGGCGCTAGGATTTACTCCAGTTGAATATGTACATCATACGTACGTTAGTTTTGACTGTGCTGACAGCAGCCTGATGCCTGTATCATTTGGCAGGTCTTTTCTCTGTGGTGGATCAACTGGATTATTTATCTACGGGTATTGCTTATACTACTACTACGCACGGTCAGATATGTCCGGGTTCATGCAAACTTCATTCTTCTTCGGCTACATGGCCTGCGTCTGCTATGGATTTTTCCTCATGCTTGGTACCGTAGGTTTTCGCGCATCCTTGCTATTCATCCGACACATATACCGATCCATTAAGTGCGAGTAGGTCGGTGGTCCTCGTCGATCTTCTTTTCCTCTTGCCTTTCTTCTTAGCTGCCCTGTATAATAACCTTTTCACAAAAGCATATAGTTCTCCTCACACATCTTGCTACTTGAGAAACATGTGCTTAGCATCACTTATCCTGGTTGTTTTGTGCTGATTTTTTCCAGTCTATTTAGGAATATGATTTTTTTTTGGTTGGTTTCAACTCACCTTGTGTACCTTGTGTCCGATTCTCCATCTCTTGTTACCATCCTCCGGCGCGCTTGATTCAATGTCTACGACACATTTGGAATCTAACCGTCGATCAAGCATCGAGACTATTTGGTTCTCGCAGCTGAGCCAACGTAAAAGGAAGAAACTAGGAGGAAGTTTTGACATGGCAGTGTTACCAAATTCACTGGTGATTCTGCATCCTGGTCTTTTCTTATGAACTTCCAAAGTAATGAATCTTGCTAATGAATTTTCCCTTACCACCTAACGTACTAAGACGTTGACCAGTTGCTAATATCATTTCGAACCCTTGATGATTTTTAGAGTTTTACTGGGAACTTTTCCGTTGGGGAATCGATGTGTTAGATCATTGAAGCGTGGGGCACCAAATGAATATCCACTTTGGATTTTTTTTTTAATTTTTCCAAGCGCCATTGAAAATCTTTCATAATTTGGAATTTCTAAGATTCTCAGTATAATTTAAAATTTTATTAGTCCCATAGAAGTTGCTTTGCATTGGGTAAAAGCTTATTATTCAGTGGTGGGTCGAATCCTGAATCTGGTCACAATTTCTTACAGAAAGTTGACGATTGTAGTTAGTGAACATCTAGTTATTCTTCCATCTAGATAGTCATTAACCACGTGAAAAATGTTTCTAATTATTCATGGGTAAAAAGTTCTTTGTCAAATTATTTTGGACTTGACCAAGGGGCGGGAAATCATGGCCATTTCAACCTTTTTGGGCGAAAAATTGACATGAATGATTATATTAAAATTTTGCGCAAAAATTTAGGATTGAACTGATAAAATTAAAAAAATTAGGACTGAATAATTGTATAATAAGTTAAGGATGGATTAAGTAATTTTCCCGTCAAAGGGCTGTCACGGCCTCTGTTTGAACATGGACCACAAGAGATCTCTTTTAAATCTTCTAGGCTTCATAGTACTAAAAACGTAGAAATCTTCGGAAATTGAGTCCCCTAGTTTGCCGTACTCGTCTCGCGTACACAAATTTGTCCATTATATTCACCATCATCGAGGTTTTACACTTGCGGTCTAATAGCGACAGGAAAAAGAGAACCATCTATCTCTAGAAAGAACATGGTTTCTATTTGTGAAAACTGAACTCCCACACATGAAGCTGTCTGGATTGGGACCCTGCACGCATTTATTGTCTGAAATTGACCTTTTTAGAGTTTGTCATTTGTTAGTCTATATTCGACTCTAGTCGTAGTAGTAATTTTCAGACAAATAGCTCACACCTACGAAAACTCTGCTTGGATTGTCTTACGCTCTCGAATTTTGATGCTTTGCAAATCTTGTAGTGCACGTACTTTGAATTTTTCTATGAGCACTTTTAAATTGCCGTATTATTTTATCCTAACGTTTTACGATTTAAATGGATATTTTAAAATTCGACGGGAAAAATCGAAATATAGTATTTTTTTACTCATAAAAAGTTAGCACCAACTTCAAGGAATGGATTCCATCCCACTTTTGCAGCATCCAACATGTGGTGTTTTTTTTTTTTGACTTTTACTGCTGGAAATGGAGGATGCATGGTGTGGCTGCACGATGGGGGAGCTTCTCCGTAAGGAAAAAAGACAGAGCTTTTTGATCTTTTGGATTTGATGCTTTGACTTTTGGACTTTCTCAGGCAAGATAGCTTTAATTCTTCTCTTTTTCCTTTGCCCTTATTCCCCCACTCACATGCTTCGTCTCTCGTTGAGCCAATCTCCAGCTTTTTCCATGGAAGGGTTTCCAACTCCTGTGGCCAGAACGAGAAACAGTAAGGAAATAGCTCAAAAGCAAAGGGACCCAACACAGCACAAGCTTGATGATTAGAGTTCGTGGGTTACCTAACTTCCTCACGACCCTAGTTATTATTGCTCCATCTTCACCAAGACTGATGAACATCCAGTAGTACTCCGCACATGGTCTCCCGAGAAAGAAAATAGAAAAGGAGGGAAAAGGAAAATTACCCTGTGGCACATACATATACAAAACCCTTTTTCCTTCCAAAGTGTTTTGATGGGCAAGGGGACCATTTTGGAACTTCTTTTCTTCTTCGCTTTTTGTTTGTATCTCTGTCACTTGGAGCTTTGAGTGCACGAAGAAATGATGGAGTTTTTGAATCTCTCGGGTATCAGAAAGTGACGCTACAACTAGAAATTAGATGAAGCTGGGACCTGGGTAAAGCAAAATCATTATCTGACTAGCCGGGCTAGATTGCTTTATCTCTGAGTTATATGTTGCCTCACGATTTTGAACCCTAAAGATAGTCTCATCTTCACCAAAATGCCAGGCTCTTGACCTTTTGATCTCTGCCCAAGCATGGTAATATATCGGGCACAGTATAGTTACAGATAGGTTAACCAAAAGGTATTTTTCTTGAAAAAATTTACGGAAATAATTGTTCGTGTTCGAGGCTCGAGTAGGTTTTAAGCCAATTCATCATATTTTGCCTCTTTTAGATGTGACAGCAAGAGTCAAATATTTATCATCTCCTCTTGTTTAAATATCCTTGAAGGGGGGGTCCTGCAAAGCTAGCTTTTCCTTCCACTTTCTTGTGCGTGTTCTTGCAGTCGTGCTTGAGAAACTTTTTGACTCGTCACATGTAAAAGGGGTCAAATTAACAGAACGAATGTGCTTTTCTGCGCAAACTGAAGCAAGAGCAAAAACCCTTAAACTGACGTGCATTGAGAATTCTTCAAGAAGGTTATTGAAGCAAACAATATTCTTGTGCTTAATGATAGCGTGCAAAGTTTGGACTATCGTTGTTAGATGCACATTAAAAAGGTGAAGCTTGACACTTGAAATTTTTCCACTTTTAGATCGGAGCACTCAATCATACATATGGCAAGTATAGCCTTACAACCCCGCGTCGCCTTACCTAAGGTTGGTGATTATTTTAGCAATACTAAAGTTCCATCTGTCAATATAGCAAAAGTGAGTCTTTCTATGGTTGCGCAACCAAAATGAAGTCTTTGGGGTTTAAGTAAGTTTTCATGTATTTTTTTCCATTTCAAGGTAGCAAATTGACGGCGTGAAAAATCCCTTTTCGCGAGCAGTTATGTTGGCATGAAGTTATGGGTACGTCTCTTGCACAATTTATAATGAACTTTCAGCTGACGTGCACAAAATGCAAGCTCATAAATAAGATAAAATTGCAAAGTTTGATCGAGTGTTAGGCATGCCAGACCGTGTACGTTGTGACAGTCCTATAGAAAGTGAAGAAGAGCTAGCTTCTCTGTGTACGCTATGGAAGCATGGAGGCAACGGAAGAAAGAACGGAAATGAAGATCTGGTATCTAGGCCTTTAGCTTCTCAGTTCAACTTCGTATTATTTTGTTTTATGTTTTATTTTTGACTTCTTTATTTGTTCTGGGTTTTTGGTTTTTCAAGAGGAGTTAGAGAATACATGTCTTTTTGGCCAGATTAAGTGTTGAAAAAACAAACAAAAGTATTGAATGGTGTCTGAATAAACGAGAAAGATGCTGAGCTTTTTCCTCTGCTGCTGCTGCAACTGCTAGCCCCACACTGGTTTATCAGCCTCCCTGATTCTCACAAAAAAGACACAGAAGAGAGAGAGAGAGAGAGAGATATAGAATGGTGGTGGTGGTGATACGGATGAATGGAGCCTTGTTTGTGTCTGTGTTGTTTGAGACTGACCACTGAGCTCTCTCTGTTGATCCTTCTCTCTCAAACTATGGCACTGAAAAACATGGCCTTAACCCTTTTGCATTTATAACCACCGTCCAATCTCTCTCTCTCTCTCCACATGTAAAGGAAAGTTCCACCTAATTTCATGGATAACCCAATTAGGTCTGTTATACTTCTTTTATAAATTATGCGATGCGGTAACAACAAATGCATATATAATATGGATCTTATTTAATTTTATGATTTAAAAATCTCATTTTTTATTGACTTACTTCTCAACATGTCATATGTATGATACTAATGTTGATATGTAAATATCATGCTCATGAAACGTCTTAGTTTAAATTTAGTACTGTACAAAAAAATATTTACTCTAGGCATTAACGCGTTGGAGAATGAAAGCCTCTTGCATATATGTTGAACTGTTATCAGCCTGCACTGCATTGAATTGAAGCTTCTTACACAACTACGCGTTAGATAACCCATTAAAATACTATTATAAAACCAATGCGCGCTCTCTCTCTCTCTCTCTCTCCCAAGAACACATGCTGCCACTTTTAATGCTCTAAGAGAAGGAGACTTTAATTTGACAGGCACCCCCCTGAGACCTCACCCTAAAAAGATCCCCATATAGTCCAAATAGAAAGTCCAACTCTATCAACAGTGGAAGTAAGAAGAAAAATGAGTGCCTCTGAAACTCTCCATTCAATGTCAATATTGGTTTCAGGGTAAAAAGTAATCCCTCATGATGTTGTTGTCCTCATCAAAATATATTTCGAATATTATAATTTGACTAATTCAGGAGGCAAGCAGATTCCCTCCCCTACTAGCAGCTCTCATTCAAGCAACAAAAACTCATGATGATACCCTATCTTCCCGGAAGACTTTATTAATGCAAATAACACCAAAGCAACTGCAAAAAGATTTCACAAGATCTACTTTGTAGGTTTTTAAAATATATTGTCTTTTCTAATATTTCTGGCATTGCTTACCGCAACCGTAAACGTATTCTAACCCCCCACATGAAAATGAGGAACTAAAGTTCCCTAAGATAAATCTCTAGTTTAGAAACTTTATTTAGTCTCAACTTAAACCATATGCGTAGCGCGGCATTTCACCTCTAACCGCAATTATTGCACAATCGTCCTAGAATATCGCCTGCGACAAACCGAAGAAGAAACATATAGGAATTTGCAACGGATGATTTACATGGAGCTTTTCCTCCTTAAACTCAATCAAGTTGATGTTACATTATTACCACATGCATGTGAGGACCAATAAGCATAAGCATATATCAAAGAAGCAGCTGAACTGATGGTTCTATCTAGTAGT